TCTGTAATGTTGTGCTGTGCAGCCTGGTCGTCCAACAGATCAAAGAAATATTTGACAGCCAGAGGAACCGGCCGACTGGTGCTCAGAATCACAGTGAACAGATCATCTACGAACTTCTGCAGTGTACCCTAAAACACACAGTACAGGTGATCCATCTGGCCCTATTTAAAGTGAAGTGTGACAGTGGAGTGTGTGTGTGGTACCTTCACAGACAGCAGGCGTGTGAGGTAGATCTCTGGGATGGCCTTGGCTCTCTCACGCTCTTTGTCTCTCAGACTGCCCCGTCTGTGTTTGGGTAGCTCCGCCTCCTCACCGGCCTTCACCAGGTGCCACTGCTTCACTCCTCCTTCGTCTCCATCCTCCAACATCGGGGTCTCTGAGAGAGGAAAGAAAGAATATATGAACATATGAGAGGTATGAGCAAACGGTTTTCTTTGAAGTATTTTGGTTTGTACGCTACAGTTCAAAGGTTTGGGGACGATAAGATTTTAAAGTTTTTATTTAAAAAAAAAGTCTCTTATGCTCACCAAGGCTGCATTTATTTGATCAAATATTAACAGTAATATTGTGAAATATTGTTATAATTTAAAATAACCATTTTCTGTTTGAATATACGTATCTTAAAATGTAATTTATCTTACCCAGATGCACAGAGTCTGCAGAGGGTCTCTGGGAGTATGACGTGCCCTTCAGTGTCTGCTCCACAATCTTCTCCTTCACCTGTGTGATTGTATCACAATCCAGCACTTTAGCGGGGACCGTCTGAGACTCACCAGCACCTCCGCTGCTCACCAGAACATTCAGAGTCTACAGAACAACACGGAAAGAGGTTGAAAAGCAGTTGTTTGCTTAAAAGTTGAAAAACTTTCCATATCTTTTTTAGGACTCTGTCATATTATATGTCATGTGTGAACGAGTTATCAGATTGAAAACAATGCCACTGAGGAAAAACACATAAGGAAACAGTAAAATATCAACCTTTTTTATCTAGATTATGCATGACACTTTAGTAGAAAGTTCATTTCTGCATCAGTGTAGACTAGAGAGTGTGTGTGTCTCACCAGTATGCGGTACTCCACGTCTTCCCGCAGCAGTCGGTTGTCGTTGAGTGTGTATTTGGCTTTGCCTGAAACAGCATCTACTGGACCTTTATCCACCTGGTGCTTTATGGCTCTGAACAGCATGTAGAACGCCTCACCTGCTGTGTCCTGCCATATGACAAACAAACATGGCTACTTACCAAATACACAAATACATGGATGTGAAATATTAAATACCAAGTTAAGCTTACATTCAGTTATGCAAATATTACTAACAATATAAAAGTTGTTTACTTTATAAAAATCAGTAAAGATTTCACAGCAAAAAGGCGTGTGTACCACAGTCTGAAGATGGACAGTTGTACTAAATACACTAATTATAATTTTTTTTTACAATACTAAAACGCCTTTTCCTTGCTAAAACAGTACATACTCTCAATCAGACGACAGACAGCATGTAGTACATTGTGTACAACAGGTTTTCAGCAAAGTTTTGATCACATCGATAATTTAGAGCCCATAGAAATTTGCGTGATACATTAGGCTTTACAGGGTTAAAGATGACCTTCTGTATATTTGGGTTTGAGGGGAAGTCGTGGCCTAGTGGTTAGAGTCGGACTCGTAACCCAAAGGTTTACGAGTGGGGGGAGTGAATGTACAGCGCTCTCTCCCACCTTCAATACCACGACTGAGACAGTAATATTGTGAAATATTGTTATAATTTAAAATAACCATTTTCTGTTTGAATATACGTATCTTAAAATGTAATTTATTGCTGTGATGCAAAGCTGAAACTTCAGCATCATTACTCCAGTCTTTAATGTCACATGATCCTTCAGAAATCATTCTAATAGGCCGATTTGCTGCTCAAGAAACATTTCCTATTATTATCAATGTTGAAAGCAGTTGTGCTGCTTAATATTATTGCAGAAACCAAAATATGGCTTTTTTTCAGAACTCTTTGATGAATAGAAAGTTACATTTTTGTCGTTGTCACTTTTCTTCAATTTAGTGCATCCTTTCTAAATATAAGCATTAATTTATTTTTACTGACCCCAAACTTTTAACAGTAGAGTATATTAAATAAACAATCTGTAATGTCTGCTTTTGAATAAAACAGTAAATTATATATGTATATATGTAATTAATTAGATTTTTTATGTGGAACTTCATGGATATAAATGAAAAGATATTACTAATCATAACAAATAAATAAATAATTATTTGAAGCGTCAATAAAAAAGGAAAAACTTAAGTTAGTCAAACTAATATTTTAAAACTAACAACTAAGATAGTTCAACTCTATATTCTGATTAGAACTATCAGTATATGAACCTGCATATCAACTGAATTCTACACTGATTTGGTAAATTTTGATGTTTTTAACACTCTAAACACACCAATGAAACACCACGTCATGCTTAAAAGCAAGGAAACCTACTCTCTCCGGGTATGTAGTCATGGCTGTCGTGGTGGATTTGCTTGGATTGTCGTGACACCAGTGTTACTGTGGCTCCATCTGGGACCTGAAGAGATATAGGAAGCACTTACAAATCAACAATGACTCAAAAAAAAAATACAGCATGCAAAATTGCACTCCACAAAATGAAGTCATTAGATTGAGGTACAACTAGAGAGACCTTGTAGTGTTGTAAGGTGTTGAGGCGTTAGCACTTACAAATGACTCAAAAAAAAAATACAGCATGCAAAATTGCACTCCACAAAATGAAGTCATTAGACATTAGATTAACTAGAGAGACCTTGTAGTGTTGTAAGGTGTTGAGGCGTTTCCAGGACCCCTGAATCACTGATGTCAAGTCCTGATCCGACAAGATTAGATGACCAGCCATTCCCGCCCTCCACTCTATAAAACACGGGATCACAGGAACTACAAATAAATGCCTTATTATAAAAATATTAAATTATATATATA